CCCCACCACTTGCCAAGCCATTTATCCTCTTTTTGTTTTTTGTTGTTTTTTTTTTTTGAGACGGAGTTTCGCTCTTGTTACCCAGGCTGGAGTGCAATGGCGCGATCTCGGCTCACCGCAATCTCCACCTCCTGGGTTCAGGCAATTCTCCTGCCTCAGCCTCCCGAGCAGCTGGGATTACAGGCACGCACCACCATGCCCAGATAATTTTTTGTAATTTTAGTAGAGACGGGGTTTTACCATGTTGACCAAGATGGTCTCGATCTGTTGACCTCGTGATCCACCCGCCTCGGCCTCCCAAAGTGCTGGGATTACAGGCTTGAGCCACCGCGCCCGGCCCATTTATCCTCTTTCACCTTCAGTTTCCTCATCTGTAAAATGAGCTTAATCACACTTCCTCAATGTGAGGATCAGGACAAGGCCTGTGTCTAGCAATCTGAAGAGTAGTTCTCTGTCCCTTCTCTTCTGCCTTTCCCTGTCATGAGGCCAAAAGAGTGACAACGCAGTGGAACACTCAGCCAATCAGCAGCTGTCCTTATTGTTGTTTGTCTTAGGCCCAGGTAGGGATTGGGGGTGTGGGAAACAGGTGTGTCACGGCTTCATGACATGGAAATGCCCTGAGGTGTTTGTTATAAATACAGATCCTCGGGCCCCACCCATTGAGAGCCCATAGATCTGGATTTTTAGCCAGCTTCTAGAGAACAGTGGCCTCCGGTGGTCCCGAGACCACCCTCTAAGGCACCCTGCCCTTCAGTCATTGATTCCAACATCACAGTATCCACCATATCTTCAAACCATCTCAATATTTTTAGCTTAGATTTTATACATCGTTTTTATTCCAACCAACATGCTTTTGTAACTTCAAATCATCTATTTTTAAATATCCCTTAAACTGGTACCATAAATGCAAATATATTGAAAGGAAATATGACAGGGTGCTTAACAGGAACATGGGCCCTGGAGCCAAACCTGCCTAATAGAAACCCCATCTCTGCTGTTTGCCAGCTGTGTACATTTAGACAGTTTCTAAGACTCCTTAAAGTCTCCATGTGTCAACATCCCCATGTGTACAAAGGGGATAATATGGATATCTAATTATAAGGCTGTTAATGATGATTAAATGCTTCCCTGTAAAGCAGTGACAACAGTACCCAGCACGAAGTAAACGTGAGTTAGTCTTGTGACAAATGAATCAAAAAAGCAGTATCACTTGCTACAAATAGAAAATAACCACCAAAAAATGCGTAACTGTGAAAAGTTATTAAAATTTCATCCACGCACCATCTAAAATCATCTGTGTGTCATCAGTGATATACATTCCACACTCAGGCCAACGCTGTCGCAGAAAGTGCCAAGAAACCCTACCAAGTGGTGCTATCACCGGCCAAGCTAACTTGGGAGTGATTTTGGTGTTGCTTTAGACCTAACTTTGAGTCTCCCGTTAACCCGAGAGCTGCATGTGTCCAGGGAAGATTCCCTTCGGAATCCACTGTTTGGGTTCATCTGTGAAGAAGAAGATATCTGTGTGTCCAGGGATTAGGAAGCAATTCCTCCTCTGTGGGAAAGAAAGCAGTGTCTCAAAGCAAGTTGCTCAGCAACAGGCTCATTAGCACTTTGTACTTCTTGAGATTTGTTTATCTACAGATCTCAACATGCCTCAAAACATTCATTAGTGCTCACAACATCTGGTCAGCCCAGAATCACAGTCCCCATTCTGCAGATGGGAGAATTGATAGAAAGGGCCATTAAGGGACTGTTGAGCAAATGAAGAGTTGTGGCGATAAGAAAAGTGATGACCCCTGAGGATCCGGCCGGCAGGGCCACCCCACTCATCAAGCATTCACCCTCGGCGGAGACATGCAGATGGCAGGAGGCCACACGGCTCCCTTCATTGTTCCTATGACAGCATGGGAACAGGACGGCGTCCTTGGAGAAAATTCCAGTTCATACATTTTTATTGGATGAAAATGCAGAGGGAATTTTTACAAAGGAGTCCAATTTCTCCTTCCCATCCAATTTCCCACAAGAGGAGTGAAGATCATTCCAGCAGGACCAAGAGCTAAGCCACATTTGGCTGGGAAAGGTATAGCCCCGAATAACAAACAGGTGTGTAGATAGTGTCAGGAAATGAGGCCAAAAACATGAAAGCATCAGGTCCAGGGAGCAAGATAAAGAGAACCAGAAGGCAGGACCAAAGCTTGAAGCTACGGAAGAGATTCAAAACAGGTTGGGAAGATGAGATGTACAAAGAATCTTCAAAACGTTCATTTCTTTTAACTCAACAAAAACAGAAGTTCAGAAATCTCTTCAAAGCAAATACTAGGAAAATTATATAAAGCTTCCTATCCAATTGTATAAAAATATCTGTAAATATATTGTTTTAAAAGTGTAATCTACACTAACAAAAAATTAGAAATAGGCTCACACCTGTAATCTCAGCACTTTGGGAGGCTGAGGCAGAAGGATCACTTGAGCCCAGGAGTTTGAGACCAGCCTGTGCAATATAGTGAGACTCTGTCTCTACCAAAAAAAAAAATTATAAATAATCTAAATATTCAGAATTAGGGATTGATTTAAAGAGATTATGTTACACCAATACTATACAACCATTAAAATATTTTTAAGAAAATTTAGTTATATAAAAAAAATCAGCCAGATGCAACGGTTCATGTCAATAAAATCCCAGCACTTTGGGAGGCCAAGGAGGGCAGATCACGAGGTCAAGAGTTTGAAACCAGCCTGGCCAACATGATGCAATCCCATCTCTACTAAAAATACAAGAATTAGCCAGGTGTGGTGGCGGGCGCCTATAATCCCAGCTACATGGGAGGCTAAGGCAGGAGAATTGCTTGAACCCAGGAGATGGAGGAGATTGCAGTGAGCAAGACTCCATCTCAAAAAAAAAAAAAAACAGATCATCAGCCGGGCGCAGTGGCTCACGCCTGTAATCCCAGCACTTTGGGAGGCAGAGGCGGGTGGATCACAAGGTCAAGAGATCGAGACCATCCTGATCAATGTGGTGAAACCCCATCTCTACTAAAAATACAAAAAAATTATCTGGGCATGGCGGCACGTGCCTGTAATCCCAGCTACTCAGGAGGCTGAGGCAGGAGAATTGCCTGAATCCAGGAGGCGGAGGTTGCGGTGAGCCGAGATCATGCCATTGCACTCCAGCCTGGGTAACAAGAGTGAAACTCTGTCTCAAAAAAAAAAGATCATCATAAATAACAAACTTCAGGATAAAAAATAATTAACACAATCATAAAGATACCAGAATTTTATACTTAAGGAAAAACTGGAAGAAAACAGCTTTAAAATATGTAGATAATCTGTGTGGTGGAATTGTGTGCTTTAAACGCATATATGTGTATTTACTAAAATGTCAACAATAAGCAAGTATTATTGTAATTTAAAATATTAATTGTTTAAACTTTTACTGTGAATCTTATTGAGACTTTACTTAGGGACTTGTTCTACCCAAGTGAAGGCTATGTGGTTCTGAAACAGATCCACAGACTTAATGAAGCAGATTGTCCCTGTTGCCTGGCTACTCCATGGGGTCCAAATAGCCAAGGTGCTCCCAGCCCTCTACATTTATGAAAGGTGTCACAGAACATAAGAATGAATCCTGGATTCAGAGTCAAGAGATCTCACTGGTCAAGAGACCCACTCTATGACCTTGAGCAAAGCACTTCATTTCAGATTCCTTATCTAAAATGGAAATAGCAGTGCGTGTACTGACAACTTCCCAGTGACACAGTTTGTAAAAAGCATGTTCAAGTGGGAGTTTATCTCAACCCCATAGGACTGAGATAAACAGCATTGTAGACCTTATCCCAAAGAACAACTTCAGAGCTCATCCTTGGTCAGGTCTGCCCATCCATGTGCATTCTCTCCCTCTCTAGGCCACCCACTGAGAATGGATGCCCACAGTTGTGACCTTGGAGTCATGTCTGGCTCCCAGAGGACTTTCAGACTCATCTAAGAAAGACTAAATCAGGAATGGGATTCTTAAAAATTTATAGGCTGGGTGCGGTGGCTCATGCCTGTAATCCTAGCATTTTGGGAGGCTGAGGTGGGAGGATCACCTGAGGTCAAGAGTTAGAGACCATCCTGGCCAACATGGTGAAACCCCATCTCTACTAAAAATAAGAAAATTAGCCAGGCATGGTGGCAGGTGCCTGTAATCCCAGCTACTTGGGAGGCTGAGGCAGGAGAATTGCTTAAACACCAGAGGGAAAGGTTGCAGTGAGCCAAGAACACGCCATTGTACTCCAACCTGGGCAACAAGAGAGAGATTCCATCTCAAAAAAAAAAAACAAGTACAAGCATCCATGTTCACCATGTGACTTGGTGAGTCAGGATGTTTTTATTAGCTGAAACATCCCATTTCCTGACTCAACTACATTATATATGCTATAGGTTGAAAGAGTCCCCAAAGTCCAAGTGTTGAAAACTTAATTCTTAATGCACCAGTGTTGAGAGGTAGGATCTTTAAGGCATGGTTAAGTCATGAAGGCTCTGCCCTCATGAATGAATGAATGCCATTATGGCTCCCAGTAGTGGGTTCTTGATAAAAGAATGACCTTGATCCTCTTCTCTCTCTCTTTCTCTCTCCCTCTCTGACTCTCTCTCTCTCTGTCTCTCTCTCTCTCTCTCTCTCTCTCTCTCTCTCTCTCTCTCTTTCTCTCTCTCTCTCTCTCTCCCCGCCCCCCACCTTTCTCTCTCTCTCACCTTTCTGCCTTCTGCCATGGGATGACACAGCAAAAAGGCCCTCACCAGATGTGAAGCCCTCGACCTTGGACTTCCCAGCCTCCAGAGCTGTAAGAAATAAATCTCTGTCCTTTATAAATTACTCAGTCTTAGGTGTTCTCCTATAACAACTCAAAATGGACTAGGACAATATGAGAGAACCACTGGTAACAAGTGGAATATATCAGTTACTTTAAAGAACATTACTCATACTCAAGTGTTAGCACACATCTGTGCAGTACCACGAGCTTCATCTTCCAGAGTGTCCTTCCTCAGAGGACTTCCACTGGCTTGCACTTTTTATATTGCGCATTTCTTGTAATAAAGTGGCCAGTGCATTTCTGACTAAATAGAATACACACTGATCCATCAGTGTTGTCTGATAGTCTACATGTATCTAAGTCTCTAAGCTAACAGTTTATCTAAAAATGAATGGTGGAACACTAGCTACAAAGAATGATAATTACAAGAAAAAGATGGTCCCCAAATCATTTTGGGAAATGCAATTTCAGAAGGCAATATACGGTAAAAGGTAACTGCGATGACCAGGGAAGCTTTTTTCATTATCCGTGATCTGGGAACACATTTTGATCAACGTTTGCTTTGAGGTCCTGTGATGTCTAATGGCACCCAGCTAACTTTGTCTTCGGAAAGCTCTCCTCTAATTTGTAACTACCTAGCAAGTATTCTTCAAGACAATGCCTTCACAAAATACTCTGAATTAAACATAGATATGGTCAAGCCTTGGAGAATGCCCAGGGAATTTCTTTATCCACCGTCATCCCCAGGGAGCCATGATTCTATGGCATCTTCAGTAATTAATTCGCTGACAACCACCACCGCCAGCAGCATCACATGTGCGCACAGTGGTAATTGCTCATGGAAAAATGCTTTTGAGTGGTATTTTCTTCCGTTGTACAATTGTCTTGCTCATGTATGTATCAGCAACTTCAGTCGCCACAGAAGCATCAAACCATGAAACAATCACTGGATAAAAAGTCAAGACCTCAGGGCCATGACTAGAGAAATGGCTTAACTTCTCTGGCCTCAGGTACCTCATTTATAAAGGACGATGTTGGGCTTTCCTAACTTTCCTTACCTTTCTTCAAACTTAAACTCTATCCATTTTCACTGAATAAGATACAACAAATCCTCAGAGATAGGGTTAATAGAAAGGGGGCTTAACCCATGTGCAGGATCTATGTCAGACACTTCATATACATTACTACAGGTAACATTCTCAGCATTCTTCATGATATCATGCCCACTTTACAGGTAGGAAAACTGAGGCTAGGAGCAATAATTTGCTTAAAGTTACGAAACTGGGAAGTGGCAGAACTGAAATAAGAACTCAGAACTGACAGCTACATTATGCTGGCCATGCTAAAGGCCTGAGGTGTGGGGCATGCCCAGAAACCCCATCTCTGTGTCACATTGCAGCCACTGCTCTGCCTGTGAGCACACCATTCAGGCTGCTTTCTTTATCCACCTGTTTTAGGAGCTTTATAAGGTTCTCACACTTGAGGATGCCTCACCTCACTGAGATGAAAATATTAGGATGCCAAGAGAAAGACACCAGTCAGATGTTCCACATACCCTTTGGCTCCCTATAGTATGCATAACATTTCCCACACTGATTTCAGACCTCTTGCTAAAGAAAGAAATCTTTAATGTCTTCAGCTCCTGGTTCCTAAGCCCCAGAGATTCCCTGGTTCTTGGGTCACCCAGGAATGGGAGTCAGGTTAGCTGACAGCCTACATAGGAGGATGTACAAAAATTACTGGATATGCTTAGCAAAGATGCATGGTGAGGTTAAGGAGACGGAGGGAACAGATATCACTATTCTGCAGTAAACATTATGGACCCACGGAAAATCCAATCACAGTTTTCTTTTGCCTCACTTGGAAAACAACGAGACACTTTTCCTTCATTCTACTGATAGAAACACTCATGGCAAAAGAAGCAAGCACATGGGGTTCCTAAAGAGAAGTACCTTTGGCAAGAACGCCCAGTCTGGTGTTCGCTGACCTCTGTGCAAGTGCAGAACTCACCTTCAGGAAATGCAGCTATAGGCTGGACATACCTGGTTTAAGAACAGTGGCTGTGACCTTTCATCTCATCTGGGATCCCACAGGAAGGAAAAAATTATTCCAGGGCATCTGGAGGCCTCAGCCTCCACCCATTTGCGGATGTTCCCATGGATCTGAAAAGGATAAACATCTCTTCTCTATCATTGTTCACCATTTGGCCAAGAAGGGAAACCCATGGCCCTCCAAAATGTCCTAACCCAGCATGTTGTTCCTATACTAGGACTCAACCAGTGGTCCCAAATTTCATGAAACAGTTAGTTTAAGACGATTACCTGTCACTGTATCTCTGACTTAGAGATTTATTTTCCTATTGTTTTGTAGACTCATGATTTTTTTTGAAGTGTATCGGGTTGGGTTATGAGTCGGTCTATTTGTGCTCTAGAATTGCTCACTCCACCTCGGAGTTCACTGTTTAAAGCCATGTTTACACTTAGTCAGTCTCTGGCCCCGGTTCTGGAGCCCAGGGAGACAGAGACACACCCAAGCTACAGCTGGGAGGCTGTCCTTGGGCTCCTGATTCTTAACTCCACCTGGAAGAACATGATTTCTTCTGAGTGGGGCATCCAACATCAAAAGGGTATGGAAAATGGAAATATGACCTTTTAAATTCTCGTTGTAAAAGCCTGGGTTCGTGGTTGTTTTACAATTATTGCTGTTGCTGCTGCTGCTGCTGGTGGTGGTATTATTGTTATTTGGCCAGACAAGGTTTCACAAAGTAAAGTGTCTATATTCAAGGAAAGCTACCAGAAACTTCGACCCAGACCTTGAGCACCCATGAATTCAGATCCACGGCATGCATGCCACACCTCTGAGCTGGTGTAACACATATATACCGTGGTGACCCCCTAAGCCCCAAAATCAACTTCCGACTTGTGGTCTTCAGTTACTTCACCAGTACAGGAGACCCCAGGCCCTCTTAATAAATCAAACCCATATCCTCTAAGGTGAGCTAAGGAAGGAAGTCAGTCTCTGAGAGCTCAAGTTAGGGCTTAAAAAGCCAGCACCTCCACCGCCATGAAGATTCTCCTCTCACAGCCAATGCTGAAGGTCCTGGGATCAACTTTATTAAAGGATTTGGAGACTTTTCAAGTGAATCCCAGCTTGCCTCTCCTTTCCCTTTTCTCTCCCTAGCCCACCTCCTCCCAGGCCCCTAAATAGATCTTTGGAGTCAGGGAGGGAGATCATTGAGAATGAGACATTATTAGAGACCTGGAGGACTTTAGAAACAAGTTGATTAAAAAAAAAAAAAAAAAAAAAAAAAAAAAAAAAAAAAAAAAGAGTCTCTGGGCCAGGCACAGCTGGATTTGAGTCCAGCCTCTAAAGCTCACCAGCTGCAGGATGAGGGTGAACGTGGCCTTCCTAGCCTCAGTTTCCTTGTTAGTAATGTGAGGGGGTAGGGATAGTAACACATACTTATAGGATTAGTAAACATGAAACCTGCATGTAAAATGCTAGCATCCTTTATGTGACATTCTTCAATTATTCAGAAAATGACGAGAACTAACAATTCTTGATCACTGACTACGTGCTGGGCAAGATTCTAAGAGTTTCATATATATTCACTCATTTCATTCCCACAGACTCATGGTCCAGGTGCTCTGTTATCCACACTCATACAGATAAAGAAACTGATGCACAGAGAAGTTAAAGAGTGTCTGAGCTCAGGAAGGTAGTCAATATCAGACCTGGGATTGGAAATTACGTGGCCTGGCTGTAGCACACACTCTTAAGCACCACACTTAATGACTTCTGCACGTATTTAGTAAATATCTACCATGTGTTAGGCATGGGAGTTTCAAGACTAAGACCTAGTGCCTTCCCTTAGGGACCTAAAAGTTTCATAGAAAACACGGGCATGCAATCATTAACAGCAGCACACAGTAAGGCATATAGGAGAATAAATATGATGTGTTATGGGATTACCTAAGCGATACCTAACCCAAACAGGACAGGTTAGGGAATACTTCTTGGAGGAAGGGGCACCTGAACTAGAAGAACAGAAGGAACAGAGTGTGCAAAGAGAGATGATGTGGTACCTTCAGGAAACTGCGGAGCCTCAGCATGGCCAGAGCATAAAGGCTACATGTGACCAAGAAGAATGACGCCAAAGAGGCAGGAGGGTTGCATGGGGCTGTGGAGAAGCCTCGAGTGCCAGGCAGGGCTAGGCAGCCTGGATTTCCTCCGGGGCAGTGAGGAGTCCTGGAGAAATGCAAAGCAAGGGAGGAACATGGAAGGATTCAGGAGTTGGGTATTATAAGGAGAAAGAATATGAAGGATTGAGACTGAAGCAAAGACACCAGAGAGGAGGCTGTTTCAGCAATCCAGAAATCAGTGACGGGGACCTGGACCACAAGAGTAGCCATGGGGAAGAGGGAAAGAAGACGATTTAAAGCATGAATACAGAGACATCTGCAGCAGGACTCGAAGCAGATGGGATAGGAGTTGTGTATGAAACAGGAGAAGCAGAAGTCGGTCTTCAACAGGGAGTTTCTCTGAGATGTTACCACCACTCACAGAGTAGGAGTCATGAGTTCAGGCTTCAGTGAGTTGCCTTTGAGGAGGAGAAGTTCAGTTGGGAGTGAGATGTACAGCCTGGGCAGGCAGTAGAGAATGGTGAGCTTGAGCTACAGATTTAGCAGTCACGGGAATTCCCTGATCTTCAAGCCATCAGAGTGCATGAGGCTGCTCAGGAAAACTGATTGAACAGACTGTGTAGAATGAACAGAACAGTAGCCCAGGCCTTAACCTTGAGGAATACCAGAGTCTAGGGGGTTGAGCAGGGAGGGTCAACCTGGAAAAAAAAACACCGAAAAAGCAAAGAAAAAAGGAGTTAATGTGGTATCACAGAAGTAAAGAAGGAAGAGAGTTTCTAGGAAAGAGAGCATTGATAGCACCTGCTATCTGAACTGAATTGTGCCCCAACCCAAATTTATATGCTGAAGCCCTAACTCACTCTCTCTCTCTCTCTCTCTCTTTCTCTCTCAATGTAGGCCATGTGAGGATATAACAAAGAGAGCCCTCATGAGAAACCACATCAAGGCCGAGTGCAGTGGCTTTCACCTGTAATCCCAGTACTTTGGGAGGCCAAGGTAGGTGGATCACTTGAGGTCAGGAGTTTGAGACCAGTCTGGCCAACATGGTGAAACCCCATCTCTACTAAAAATACAAAAATTAGCTTGGTGTGGTGGCACATGCCTGTTGTCCCAGCTACTTGGGAGGTTGAGGTGGGAGGATCGCTTGAACCCGGGAAGCCGAGGCTGCAGCAAGCCAAGATCACACCACTGCACTCCAGCCTGGGTAACAGAGCAAGACTCCGTCAAAAGAAGAAAAAAGGAGCGGGGGAGAGAAAGAGAGAGAGAAAGAAAGAAAGAAAGAAGAAACAGAGAAAGAGGGAGGGAGGGAAGAAGGAGGGAGGGAGGAGGGAGGAAGGAAGGGAGGGAGGGAAGGAAGGAGGGAGGGAGGAAGGGAAGGAAGGAAGGAAGGAAGGGAGGGAGGGAGGGAGGGAGGGAAGGAAGGAAGAAATCTAATCAGCCAGCACTTTGATCTCAGACTTCCCAGCCTCCTGAACTGTGAGAAATAGGTTTGTTGTTTAAGCCACCAGGTCTATGATATTTTGTTATGGAAGCCTAAACAGACTAAGCACCCCATAATTCAGAGACATCAGATGCTTGCACAAGTTAGTGTGCTTGTCTAGAAATCCCAACTCAAATTGGCTCACTGTCATGCACACAACTAAAAAGACCGGCAGTAGGATGGCCTTCAAGTCAGGCTTGATCAGGGATCTGTTTCCCCTTCTCTACAAGGGTCCAGATCTGTTCTCGTCCGTATGGCTTTCTTCCTGGTACTACAATGTTTATGCAGGTCAGCACCCCAATCTGAAAATCTGAAATGCAAAATGCCCCAAAATCTAAAACTTCTTGAGGGCCACCATGATGCCACAAGTGGAAAATTTCACACCTGACCTTATGTGGCAGAATGTGCCATCAAAAGCCAGGCACATAACACAGATTATTGAACTTACCAAATGGAAAAAGGTCCTGCTAGCCCCTTTCAGCTGCGATGTATCTTTCCTGCACACACCCAGATTTTCCAACACAACTACACCCACAAAACAAAAACTTGGTTTTGTCCAGAAAATTACTTAAGATGTTCTATAAAATTATCTACCTCAGGCTATGGAAATGAGGTGTATATGAAACACAAATGAGTTTCACATTAGTCTCAGGTCCTACCCCAAGATATCTCATTTTATATAGGCAAATACTTCAAAATGCAAAAAATTCCAAAATCAGAAACTCTTCTACTTCCAAGCATTTCAGATAAGGGAAACTCAACCTGCAGAACCACTGGGGCTTCCTATTTACACACCATGTTATCCAGTCCAAGAGGGGCTGAGAGCTTTTGGATAAATTTTATAAAGTCCCTGAGCCTCAGCTTTTTCATCTGTAAAATGAGTATAGTTGAACCTACCTCTCATAGTTGTGAGGGTTAAATGCATCAGTGAATGTATTAGTGCCTGAAACTTAACAAATGACCACGCCCCTCACAGGTATCCTCCAACCAACTGGAGAGAAAGGAGATAGTGGACCTTGGAAATGAAAAGAAGTGTTTTAAAAAAAAAAAAAACTAAATTAAATCATGTCGCTTCCTCTCTCAAACACTGTTGATGCCTTCCCATTGCCTGAACTCCTAGGCATGGAATTCAGGGCTCTCCACTTGCAGGCCTCACACCACTTTCAGTCCTATCTCCCATTGACTTTTACCTCATCTTCTAAAAATAGTGGTCTACTTAGCTATTTTCAAAATACATCAAACTTCATCCCTCCTCTCTTGTGATCTGCAGTTCAAATTAACATACATACACATTTATATGAGAGGCTTTTCTCTCATCTTGTAATTTTAGGCCCATGGTCTGGCCTACTGGAGTTTATTTGTGTTCTGAATCTGTCAGGCAAGATACTCAGCCTGTCATTTCTCTGTGGCACAGACAAACTTAAAAAGCAGGGTGTCTCTATTGTCTCTGAAGCCATTGTTTAAAGTGTTGAATGACACTGAATAGGGAATGTATTAATATACTGTGGGTTTTGTGGGTTTTTTTTTTTTTTTTTTTTTTGAGAGAGAGAGAGTTTCACTCTTCTTGCCCAGGCTAGAGTACAGTGGTACGATCTCGGCTCACCACATCCTCCGCCTCCCAGGTTCAAGCGATTCTCCTGCCTCAGCCTCCTAAGTAGCTGGGATTACAGGCATGCGCCACCATACCTGGCTAGTTTATTTTTAGTAGAGACAGAACTCCATGTTGGTCAGGCTGGTCTCGAACTCCTAACCTCAGGTGATCCACCACCTCAGCCTCCCAAAGTGCTGGGATTATAGGCGTGAGCCACTGCACCCAGCCAATATCCTCTTTTAAGGTTCATGTTTATTTGCTAATCCACCCTTTTAGGGTAGATCCTTATTTAAGTAGCTTAGATGTTTTCTTATCCATTGCCCATGACCCTAGTTTATTCAGAGAATACCCCATCTTGTTCATGAAAGATCGTCTGGAAAGGCATGCTGGAATTCAGACACTCTGCTCATGAGGTTGTCACGGGACAACTGGCCTAATCAACATATTCAAAAGAAAATGTGCTTAGCCTTAAATGAAGCGGCTGATGCATTTGTCAGGAATGGTAGACTGCTGCAGTAACTGATCAGTCAGGAAATCTCTGTGGCTTAACATAATACAACTTTATTTTTCATGCACACAAAGTCCAGGATGGGTCCAAAAGTTCTCCTCTTGCATTTTGTCATCTGGGATAGAGTCCTCCAAGCCTACCACAACAACAAAAAAAGGAGAGGGCTGGGAAGCAAACCAGCAGATAATTCTGTAGCTCCGACCTGACTTCAAGGTCGCCTATGACATGTCAGGGAGAAAATGAGTATTTGGTGGCATTAGTCATCTCTGTCCTCACTGGGTATGTTTCTCTCTGTGATCTCATGATCATTTTTTCCCTCTGCCATACTTAGAAACCCCAATCATCCACTGTAGCATATTCAGCATTTATGGAATCCTCCACACTGAAATCTTTGGACAGATTCCATTAGCGTCAACCACCAGAGTCATAAATGCCAATACAATAACCTAGATGTTCCCAAATATTGCTTAAGAAGTCCCTTTCGTGTCTTTGGGGAAAAAAAAAAAAATCTAATCCTCCTCTGACCATCACAGGATAAGAACACTCAGTTCCAAACAACATGTTTGACTAAGTCTGATTAATGAATTTCTGAAGTTATTTTTGTTGATCCTCCCACCCTTGACGCCAAAATTTGCCTGCGGCAACATGTGTGTAAATTAATGAGGCTTTCAGCAACTAGTGGAAAAGTGTTCATTACCTTAATTATCCACACCTTCAGATTGAGGGCAATGTGGGACCGTCAGGACACAGCAGGGCGTCTGTGCTGGGAAACAGCACCTGCTCAGTGCGGCTCATCCAGGCCGTCATCCCTGGAGATGCAAGGCAAGGGCCTGGGTGAAAGAAGTAGACGCACAGAAGAAAAAATGACAAGAGAAGATTAAGTGTGACTACCTGATTGCATGCTGAATGTGCATGCACTCATTAAGCACCTAGCATAGGTAAACCCACAGTAGCCTGTTTGATCCTCATAGAATTCAAGAACCAATCTGTCCTAAGTCAATGGGAATGGAGTCAAAGAATCTTTATCAGAATCAAACAGCAAGGTACAAGTCTGTCCAGCTCCTGGACTTATCTGATTTTATGTCTCTGTTCTGGCTGGCTCCTACTTGAACCTAGGTCTCAGTGATACAGAGCTGACCGTGTGCCCAGGTGCCATGTGTTGCCTCCGAAGGCCCCCATCCAGTTCCCCCAGGACCTAATCCTACTTCCGATCCTAGCTGCATGAAGATCGAGCAGGCTATTGAGACCCAGGCCCAAAGGGGAGGTTTCTCCTCCTCCTTCATGTGCCCCACTCCCCTCCAAGATCTTAGCCTGGTGCCTCTCCTCATCTCCTGGTTGCTGTGATCTGCCCAATGAGACCAGTTTTTACTCATTATCCCAGTCATGGAGCTTTCACCTTGGTCCTCACCACCCATTTCCCTTCAGTGGCTTATAGAGCTCCCTGCTAGACCATGTTGGAGACACAGATGGTCCTATGGGCGTTCAAGGCATGTAGAAGATAAGACTGGTCCCCAGAGAACAATCATTACAGGAAAGATGGCTTCAGCACCTTCTAAATCAGTCTTTCTCAAGCTCACTTGATAGTAAGAATCACTGGAGTCCATCCAAAGATACAAGCTACAAAGCCTCACCAAGAAAATCTGAAGTGAGGCCCAAACATTTTCAATAAGCACCCAGGAGGCAAGTTTAGAAAGCACCAGGAAATGACAACATGACAGTCATAGTGACCATTGATTGAACTTCCAGAGGCTAGTCAAGGTACTAAGACATTTACATCTATTGACTCATTGAATTATCCCATAAAACCTTTCCAGGTAGGTGCCAAATCCTCATTCTACTAATGAAATACCCAGATCCAGATCCACTGACTAAGTGTTCAAAATCATACATCTAGTAAACAGCAGAACCAGGATTCAAATCTTCATCTCCCTGGCTCCTAACTCACATCAACCTGTTACTGAAGGCTAAACCCTAGGTAAAGAGAAGAGACCAGTGGTCTCTGAGCTTTTATAATCTGGCCCTATATCAATAACATATGGCACCTCCAATATATGCCTGTGTATTTTTAATTTATATATACATACTATTATTCTAATATGTATCATAAAATTGCATAATAGTTTTAAAAGTTGAAGTCAAATGAATTAAATAATTTTAATAATTTTATTTTATTTTTGCTTTGCTATAAAAATTTCCTTTTTTTTTTTTTCAGACGGAGTCTCGCACTGTCACCCAGGCTGGAATGCAGTGGCCCAATTTCAGCTCACTGCAACCTCTGCCTCCTGGGTTCAAGCACTTCTTCTGCCTCAGCCTACTAAGTAGCTGGAACTACAGGCACTCATCAGCACGCCCAGTTAATTTTGTATTTTTTTTTTTTTTTAGGGAGGGGAGGAGGAAGGGAGGAAGGCAGGAAGGGAGAGAAGGAGGAAGGGAGGGAGGAAGGAAGGGATGAAGGAATGAAGGAAGGAAGGAAGGGAGGAAGGGAGGAGGGAGGAAGGGAGGAGGGAGGGAGGAAGGGGGGAGGGAGGGAGGGAGGAAGGGGGAGGGAGGGAAGGAAAGGGAGGGAAGGAAAGGGAAGGGAAGGAAGGAATTCAAGCAATGAGAGAGACATTGCCGACCTGGATCTAGAGGTTTAAAGTTGATTTCTTTTTTTGAGAGAAGGAAAGAAGAAAAAAAAATGAGTAAAGGAGAGAAAGAAAGAGGAAGAGAGAGAGGGAAGGTGAACAGAACTATTGCTTTATTCTGAAAAAAAATGGGTATTAATATGGCCAATCAATGTTTCATTTAAACCTATGAGTAGGTGTGATGTGGTATTGACAAGAATGTATATTTTATGTATTTGACGTGGAGAGCTCTATAAATATTTATTAAGTTTACTTGTTCCAGATCTGAGTTCGAGTCCTTGATATCCTTATTAATTTTCTGTCTCATTGAATCTAAGTCTCTATGTACTGGGTGTTAGAATCGTTAGCTCTTGTTGTTCCATTGATCCTTTTACCACTATATCTTTGTTGCTTTAAAATCTATTTTATCCGATATGAGAATTGCAACTCCTGCTTTTTATTTATTTATTTTTGCTCTCCATTTGGTTGGTAAATCTTTCTCCATTCCTTTGTTTTGAGTCTTTGTATATCCTTGCATGTGAAACAGGTCTGTATGTAACATGCCGTTGGGTTTTGGCTGTGTCTTTTGATTGGGGGATTTAGTCGATTTAAATTTAGGGTTACTGCCATTTGATGTTAACTGGCTGTTTGATCCATTCATTGATGAAAATTCTTTATGTTGGTGCTCTTTACTTTTTGGCATATTTTTAGTAAGGCTAATACTGGTTGTTTCTTTCTGTGTGTAATGCCTCTTTCAGAAGCTCTTGTAAAGCAGGCCTGGTGGTAATAAAATCTCTGAGTACTTGCTTGTTCATAAAAGATTTCATTTTTCCTTCAGTTGTGAAGCCTAGTTTGGCTGGATATGAAATTCTGGGCTGAAGGTTCTGTTCTTTGAGGATGTTGAATATTGGCCCCCATTCTCTTCTGGCTTGTAGAGTTTCTGCTGAGAGATCTGCTGTAAGTCTGATAGGCTTGCCTTTGTGGGTAACCTGACCTTTCTCTCTGGCTGCCCTTAGTATTTTCTCGTTCGTTTCAACCCTGGTGAATCTAACGATTATGTGCCTTGGGGTTGCTCTTCTTGAGGAATATCTTTGTGGTGTTCTCTGTATTACCTGGGGTTGAATGTTGACCTGCTTTGCTAGTTTAGGAAAATTTTCCTGAATAATATCCTGGAAGGTATTTTCCAGCTTGGATTCATTCTCTACGTTGCATTCAGGTACACCTATCAAATGTAAATTTGGTCTTTTCACATAGTCCCACATTTCTTGGAGACTTTGCTCATTCCTTTTTATCCTTTTATCTCTAATCTTGTCTTCTTGTTTTCTTTCATTAAGTTGGACTTTGACCTCTGATATCCTTTCTTCTGCTTGAACAATTCGAGTGTTTAAATCTGTGCATACTTCTTGGAGTTCCTGTATTGTATTCTTCAGTTCCATTAATTCACTTATATTCCTCTCTAAGTTGTCTATTCTCAATAGGATTTCATCAAACCTTTTTTCAAAGTTCCTAGTTTCTTTACATTGGGCTACAACATGTTCTTTTAACTCACAGAAGTTTCTTATTATCCATTCCCTGAAGAGTGATTCTGTCATTGGGATGTACTCGTTCTCCATCAAGCCTTGTTCCATTGTTGATGTGGAACTGTGATCATCTTTAGAGGGAGAGGCGTTCTGATTTTGAGTATTCTCAGCCTTTTTACGCTGGTTTCTTCCCGTCATCGTAAGTTTATCCTCCTGTAGTCTTTGAAATTACCAACTTTCAGATTAGGTCTCTTGAGTGGACGTCCAAGTTGTTAGTTCCCAGGGCCAGAACAGCAGCGTTAAGACTGATGGTGCTTTTCTGCCCAGGATTCTCCTGTCTGGCTTCCTTCTTGTGTCCATAATGGGCGACTCTGCCTTCCCGGGGCTCCAAACCTCAGTCAGAAGGGGAACCAGTCTCATTTACTCTGCTCCGAGAACTGCCGCGCTGAGGGGCCGGTGAAGCCGCTGCACCAGCCACAAGAGTCGCGCTGGCGACCCATGTGGGTCCTCCAAGCCTCAGTCAGAAGGGGAGCCAGCCCTGTTTACTCTGCTCTGAGAGCTGCCGCGCCGAGGTGCCGGAGGAGCCGCTGCGCCAACCACAAGAGTCGTGCTGGCGACCTGTGTGGTTCCTCCACTGGGGATCTTCTGCTCCGTGAGCGACCAGAATTTGTCTGAAAGTGTGGCGTCCTCTAGTTGTCTGTGCTTTGACTGAGAGCTGCAATTCTGAGCTGATATCATCGGCCATCTTGGATCGTCCCCCGCCCCTTTTTTTTTTTCAGTAGAGATGGGGTTTCACCATGTTGGCCAGGCTGATCTTGGAATTCCAGACCTCGTGATCTGCCTGCCTCGGCCTTCCAAAGTGGATTACAGGCGTGAGCCATGGCGCCCGGCTGCTATAAAAAATTTCCAAGAATAAAAATAAAAAATTTCCAGGAATAAAAATTGAGCACACTGTGATTTTGAACATGCATTCCTTTTTCTTCAGTCTTGGTTTAATCTTTATGACAGAGTAATTGATGGTTTGGTCCTAAATTTGATTTGTTCTGATACCTGCTTTTAATGCCTGTCATAGCTGGAAAAGATGTCTCGAAAAGATACATAGATCCGAATGAAAGAAATACAGCATTGTTGCCTTATTCAGTCAGCATACTTTTTTTTTTAATTTCATCTATCAGTTAAGCAAAGGTCTTGGTGAAATGTGGCAAGTAAATTTCCAACTTCCTTGGTGACAATCCGTTTTTCTCACAATTTATCGAAAAGTTTTAAAAATAGTTCAATATGCACTGAAACATTTCACTTGGAAATGTAAAACAGGCTAGATTTTTCTATTTCAGTCTTTTCAGAAATAGAGATACAGCTTATACACGTTATATTTAACGATGTTAACATAGAAACTACTTCAGATCACTGCACAAACTGTCTTCACGGAACAAGTGATTTTTTTTTAATTCAAGAATATGCACACAGGAAAGTGTACATGTAAGTGTACAGATCAGTGTATTTCACAATGTGAACATGCCTTGTTTAGGAAACAGATTAAGGCACAAAACATTGTCAGCTCCCCTAGGAGCCTCTCTCTATGCCCTTGCCAGTTCCTTTCCCCCGAAGAACAACCACTATTCTAACTTTCAGATTAATTTTGCTGAGTTTTCTTTTTAGCCTCACGTAAGTGGGATCACACCAGAGGAAACCTTTTGCATGTGTGGC